CATGCACAGGAATGACGTCATCGTATCTCAGCCAGCCAGATGACCAGAGCTTGCGATCCCAGTAAGGAAGACCGGGTGAAGATGGACGCCTCTACAGCGGTGACAGCGCACCGCTGGAGGGCTTTGTTTTAAGGTAACTTTCACAATATGTGCGATACATACTAGCACATTATGCCTTTACCTCTTATAGGGATTTTGTTTTTGTTTTTTGGACATGGTTTACTACTGCTTTAACATCATACCCCTCCTCCATTCCTTCAAGGCTAAAATTAAGATTATTTGGAACAGGCTGTGGCTCTCCTTGATTGGTAGGGCCAACCTTATCAAAATGATTTGTATACCCCAACTATATTCCTTTCCCCACAACTCCCCTGCAGTGATCCCTTTTTATATGTTTTTAGACTGGTTAACTCTATCTTCCAGACTTTACTCTGGAAAGCTAAATCTCCCAGAATCAAACCTGAGCAGCAACAGCTCCTCAAAGATAGGAATGGGGTGGCTCTGCCCAACCGGTGGCTATACCATCTGGCTGATCAACTGCAGCATTTCACTGGGGCCTTTGTCATTGGAGGGTGCCACTACCTAGCAGTCTTCCTCTGCCCACTTTATTATGTCACACCATATGAAAATGTTAGATATTCCTGCTGCGCTCGATTCCTCTTCTTTTCAGTCATCTTATAAACCATTTCCCACTTACTCACTAATCCAGGTTTGGCTCAGTATAAGAGCCCTTCAGGGAGTAGAGGGATTCACTGAATATAATCCCATCTGGCACAATCTAACCTATGGGGAACACCTTCAGTGTGCAGGGATGTGGAAGTGATAGAAACTACTCACCTGAAGCAGATCTTTGGCAATATATCTCACTTTCCCTTTACTGACTTATGTGCTGCCTTCTGCCTCCCTTCTACACTGTAGTTTTCCTATCTTCAGCTTCGCCATGCTGTCCGAGCCCAGGGCCCTATGACCAACTGGTCTTTATCCCCCACACCTATCAATCAGTAAAGGATACAAAGGGCTTCATATTCTCTAATGTATGGATGGGGGAATCAAATTTTTTTTTATTTGAGCAGCTGGCAGCTTTAGTTTGACTAGCACCAGAATCGACCTGACCAACCTCTCTTTGTGCTCTCACTGAGTATCAGTCCATTACGGTGCTGCTATTAGATGATATCCTATCCATTTTGCAGTATCAATCCCCTCCAATACATTCTCCACAGAGTGCTTAAGGTGCTGCTGCAGACCTCCCTGAACTGCAACATACAGGTGTGCACTCCACTTGTTTCATCTGTGTTCTCCATGACCCAGATATCCATCATGGATGCCTAGTCCTCTAACCAACAGAAGCTACAAAACCCCAAAGGAGCCCCAGATCCAGGGAAGGCCCCCCTCCCCCCCCCCCCCCCAAACCCGATGCATGGCACAGTTTACACATTTGGGCTGACGGGTACCCACGTAAAAAAGTTTGGAAACCACTGCTGTAGATCATCATACCTGTCATCATCCATGCTCAGTCACATAGTATGATATTATTTAAGGCAGGACTCCAGTCAAAAATGTCTTTACATGTCCTTGTTGCTGATTTCCTACCTTCACTGAATATGTCTTCCATCATTTGGTTCACTCGTAGTTGCTCTGAAATAGCCTATTCATTTTCAAATCAAACCATTATTTCTCTTTGGTTTACTGATTGTAAGACCAGTGGCTGCTATGCCTCCTATTCCTCCAGCCACTGGTCTTGGCACGTCCCTTCTGTAGTTCTGTTCTCCAGGAAGCAGTGATGTAATTCAGGCAGTGGTGAGCAGACCAAGACTCTCAGACACATTCAACATGTACAGGCCTAGTTTACCCGCCCACATCCGCTACCCTTCCCAGTGATTGATGGGAACTGTAGTTTCCTTTTACTGCAGAGAGAGGATATGATGTAATCCCTGTTACACCTCCTCCCTGGCAGCAGATACAGTTACCTTTTGAATTACAGAGATGAGGTCATAAGAATTCAGTTAGACTTTTCTTCTAAATGTCAAGGATTTTCAAGCTTGGACTATGCATTCACTTTCACATTTTCTCCTATTGCTAAAACACACTGCCCTCATCCTAAAAGCTTTTCTTTGCTGTTTACCTGGCTCAGTGCTGCCCCAGTGATCACTCTATCTCAGTGATGGCGAACCTTTTTGAGCCCGAGTGCCCAAACTGCAACCCAAAACCAACTTATTTCTTTCAAAGTGCCAACACTGCAATGAAACCTGAATATCGAGCTTTTGGTTTAGAAAAAACAACTCGTACAGTAGTGCAAACTAATTAACAGTACAGGGATGACCAGAGACTGCGGACAGTACAGGGATGACCAGAGACTGCGGACACAGTACAGGAGATGACCAGAGACTGCGGACACAGTACAGGGATGACCAGAGACTGCGGACACAGTACAGGAGCCCGAGTGCCCAAACTGCAACCCAAAACCAACTTATTTCTTTCAAAGTGCCAACACTGCAATGAAACCTGAATATCGAGCTTTTGGTTTAGAAAAAACAACTCGTACAGTAGTGCAAACTAATTAACAGTACAGGGATGACCAGAGACTGCGGACAGTACAGGGATGACCAGAGACTGCGGACACAGTACAGGAGATGACCAGAGACTGCGGACACAGTACAGGGATGACCAGAGACTGCGGACACAGTACAGGGATGACCAGAGACTGCGGACACAGTACAGGGATGACCAGAGACTGCGGACACAGTACAGGAGATGACCAGAGACTGCGGACACAGTACAGGAGATGACCAGAGACTGCGGACACAGTACAGGAGATGACCAGAGACTGCGGACACAGTACAGGAGATGACCAGAGACTGCGGACACAGTACAGGAGATGACCAGAGACTGCGGACACAGTACAGGAGATGACCAGAGACTGCGGACACAGTACAGGAGATGACCAGAGACTGCGGACACAGTACAGGAGATGACCAGAGACTGCGGACACAGTACAGGAGATGACCAGAGACTGCGGACACAGTACAGGAGATGACCAGAGACTGCGGACACAGTACAGGAGATGACCAGAGACTGCGGACACAGTACAGGAGATGACCAGAGACTGCGGACACAGTACAGGAGATGACCAGAGACTGCGGACACAGTACAGGAGATGACCAGAGACTGCGGACACAGTACAGGAGATGACCAGAGACTGCGGACACAGTACAGGAGATGACCAGAGACTGCGGACACAGTACAGGAGATGACCAGAGACTGCGGACACAGTACAGGAGATGACCAGAGACTGCGGACACAGTACAGGAGATGACCAGAGACTGCGGACACAGTACAGGAGATGACCAGAGACTGCGGACACAGTACAGGAGATGACCAGAGACTGCGGACACAGTACAGGAGATGACCAGAGACTGCGGACACAGTACAGGAGATGACCAGAGACTGCGGACACAGTACAGGAGATGACCAGAGACTGCGGACACAGTACAGGAGATGACCAGAGACTGCGGACACAGTACAGGAGATGACCAGAGACTGCGGACACAGTACAGGAGATGACCAGAGACTGCGGACACAGTACAGGAGATGACCAGAGACTGCGGACACAGTACAGGGATGACCAGAGACTGCGGACAGTACAGAGATGACTGCTGACCTTTGGGGAGGGAGGGGAAGCGGGTACCTGAATTTGACAGGTACCCGCTCTTACTTCCGCAGAGTTTTTTTTTTATCTTACCTGTTCCTTTATCCAGCCGCGCGCTGTCTTCCCGGCTTCTGTAGTGTGGGCGCTCGTCGGACAGCCGGATGCCCAGTGCGCATGCGCGAGAAGCGCTGCGCTTTGTGATTGGTCCGGCGGCTTCTGGGATCTGTCATGTGTCCAGGTACCGCCTTACCATTCACAAAGAGCACTGCTTCTTGTGCATGCGCACTTGGGACCTGGCTGTCACGCACACTACAGCCGGGAAGACAGCGCGCTGCTGGATTCTCCTGGCGTGCCCACAGATAAGGCTCGGCGTGCCCACAGATAAGGCTCGGCTTGCCGGCTGTGGCACGCATGCCACGGGTTCGCCATCACTGCTCTATCTTTATTGATTTCCAGCTTGATACTGCTTATTGCAAATTTGTGTCCGTTCTGATTGGTACATGCATTCATGTGATGAGCTGAGTTACTGTGCATGTCCAGGGCATTATAATAAAAATTAAAAATCTGTAGAAGTGTTAGCTAATAGGAAACCATCATATTTTACTGCTGATTTTTGGAAAATTAAAAAAAAAAATGTGATCCTCTGCTGTGAGATATGACTGCGATTGTGTGCTATTCTTTTCTCATGTTTAGTGGATCAGTCCTAGAGCTTCTTAAAAGTTTTGGATTTAATGTGTATTTATACACTTTTTTTTTATACTTTTTTTTTTTTTTTTTTTTTTTTTTCGTTATGGATAGAATAGAGACAGTTCAGAATGGGGGTTGGCAAGAGACCGATCATGATCTACCAGTCGATTATGATTTACCAGTCGATTGTGGCCACGTTGGGGCATGGAAGGTTTTTGAATGTTCAGATCCCTGGTCTCCCTAAGGCTGAAAACCAGTGTTATAGGTGTTATTCTCCTGTGACATGATCTTCTCCAGTTATGATTTATACAATTGCATTACTGTGAAAACTCTGCACAATGCCTTTACCGTATCAGTTCTCTGTACTTTACCCTGTACCAAGTCTTCTACTATGCTATCTGATGGGATTTATGATATGGAACAGAGATTGATATTTGGATTTTGGTTGTTTTTCTTTGTTCTCATGTTATTGTAAAATATAAAATCTTTTAAAAATATGGTCACATTAAAAAATAAAGAGCAAGTTAGGGCACATCAGCAGTTCTTTTTCTGTCTAAAGGTATAAAATATGGAAAAATGTGCATGTATTCTAGAAATGTTTATTTTAATAAGTTTGCCTTGACATATACACGTAATACAACTTTGTCAATATTTTGTCTGTTTTCAGGGGGCTGATTTGTTTTGTGCAAGAGTTAACATTGAAGTCCAGTGGGCATCAGAGTTGGCAGTTGCAGCCATAGAAAAAAATGGTGGCATTATAACGACTGGTTTTTATGATCCACGTAGCCTTGGTAAGTTGCCTTGTGTGTCATACAGTCATGGCCAAAAATATATTGGCACCCTGCATATTTGTCAGTGCACTACTTCGCCTAGAAAATTAATGTAATTACAAATGCCTAGGCAGAAATAAATATGGGAATGTCTAAACATTTGTAATTGCAACCATTTTCTGGGTGAAATGGTGCATTATCTGACAGAAATGTAGGGGTGCTAATATTTTTGCCCATGACTGCATGTTGAAATTGTGCTAATGTTAAGATCTCCTTGCCATGACAGAGAGGTATATTTGTAATTATTTATATACAGTTCTTCTAAATAAAGTACTAACCCCCCAGTAAATTGTCATGCTACATTGTAATAGAACATTAAGGTACAGTTTTTTTTTTTTTTTTTTTTTTTTTTTTTTTAATTACAGTAATCAGCATTAATACACCAATTCATGTCAAAGTATAAACAGATCTCTGCAAAGTGATCTTTAAAGCCTATCGTTAATTAAAATAATTTTTCAAAAATTCCTTCCCCCCTCTCTGTATAAAAGAAAAAATTGTTCTAAAGCTATATTTACTCTTACTCCTTGTCATCCTCTGGTCCAGTGTCTTTCAAAACACTTGCTGCAAACCCTGGAGAATGATGCAGAGAAAAGCGTCCACCTCATTACTCAGTGCTGTTCTCTGCAACATTGAGGTCCACCCTCTGTTGCATAAGAAGAGGACATAGGAAAAGCTCCAAAGCTGGTACATACAAAAAAAGGGGGGGGGATATTGAGGGGGTGTTTGAGTGAGGAAGGGATTCTTTCCAAACTAGAATTGGGCTTTAACTTCTTGTCAACCACCTCCTATAGGAGTACGTTGGCAGAGCGGCTCTCCTGGGCTGGATCACTTACCTAGTACGTGATACAGCACTTCCGGGTAGGTAGCATGCGGCCGATGCACTGGCTGTGCTGTGATTAGTCACAGCAGAAGCCAATCAGCAGGTGATGGCCAATAGATGAGTGCCAACACGGCACTTACTGATCGGTAAGGAGACACACTGGACGGAGCTCTGCATATGTAAACAGTGCAGAGCTCAGTCCTATCAGCAGGGATGTGCTGGATTTTACAACACATCCATTAGTGAAATCAACACCCTGTACTCACACATAAACACTGGTTAAGCGCACATTTAACCCTTTGCTCGCCCTAGATGTTTAACCCCTTCCCAGCCAGCTTATTTAGCACAGTGACCGTGCATATTGTCAGCACTGATTATTGTATTAGTGTCACTGGTTCCCACAAAGTGTCAGTGTCAGCCCGTCGCAATATAGCAGTCCCACTATGAGTTGCTAATATCTGCCATTAGTAGTATAAAAATAAATAAATAAAAAGTCCAGTATATATCCCATAGTTTTGTAGACGCTATACTGTAACTGTTGTGCAAACCAATCTATAAATGCTTGTAATTTATTTGTTTTTTTTAATACCAAAAATATGTAGCAGAATACATATTGGCCTAAATTTATGAAGAAATTTGATTTTAAAATTTTTCATAGGAAATACTTTATAAACAGAGAAAAATATATATATATTTTTTGTTGTTTTTGGGGGGGTTTTCGGTCTGTTTTTGTCTATAGCACAAAAATAAAAAAACAGTGGTGATCAAATACCACCACAAGAAAGCTCTGTTTGTGGGAAAAAATTATATAAATTTCATTTGTGTACAGCGTTGCACGGCTGTGCAATTGTCAGTTAAAGTAATGCAGTACCAAAAAGCAAAAATGGTCTGGTCATGAAAGGAGGTTAAATCTTCTGGCGTTCAAGTGGCTAATTAAAATGACAATTAAAAAAACACAAAATAGCCAATTGTACAAGTATACTTGTGTACATTCCTTTAATATGACACACCTAATTTACTAGAGCAGCCAACTAATTTTTGAGGTAACGGTAGGTACAACAAATCAAAAAGCAGCTAGCACAAACTGGTGAACCCACTTCATTCACAAAAAATATATGTATATGCAATGGTGCAGCGCTTGTGTCTTAGATCATACAATCAAATACATAAACAACATCTCTGTGTTGACTTATGAACTCGGATACATAAATGGTAATTAACAAATGTAAATAAATGAATATAGAGTCTGAAAGTAAAGTGTCCGTCAATGTTGACATAAATCAGTAATGGCCAGTAAAGTGAAGTGACATCTGTGAAGAGAAAAAACATCTGTGACAATCCTGCACCACTATCTCTCTGAGGAATGTGTAACTTCTCCACTGCAGGAATTGACGTGCGACCTTGCGGAGACAAATCCTAAAGAAAAGAGCTCACAAACCAGAGCCCCGAGATGGTAGTATATAGTGTAGTATTTATTGAGTAAAAATAGCTACATCCACGTGAAACAAAGCATAAAACTAACAGCCACACTTACAAACATGGCTGCCGGGCCATCGCATGGACTCGGACTCGGCAGCATGATGTCAGCGCACAGGCTCCTACTGACGTGTTTTGTGCACGCACACATTCTCAAAGGGACCCACATGAAATGCGTGTATTTATATTTTGTCTGTGTGTATATGTATGTATGTGTGTGTGTGTATGTATATGTGTGTGTGTGTGTGTGTGTGTGTATGTATGTGTATATATATATATATCCCACACTCCTTAACCAGCTTTTGATGACATTTAAAGCCTCGTGTATGTTATGAAACGCTGTCATTTCTCATAATAATCTATCTGAAATTCAGAGAATTATTAAGACTTGCGCATTACATAATGCCAATTACCCCAAGTTGGTGTAAAATTGTTATGTCAAGTTATGGCGCTTGATAGAATACACATTTATCTGTTGCTTTTAAATGTCATCAAATGCTACTTACCCTGTGTATATGCACAGATCAGCCATAATTTTAGGACTCCCAACAGGTTAAGTGAATAGCATTGCTTATATCTCAATGACTAGCACATGCCATCATAATGAGATATTAGACAGCAAGTAAATGTGTCCCTGAAATTGATGTGTTTTGAAATGAACATTGCAGCTTGTTGTTTATGGGGCTGTGTAGCCTGAGACTGGTCATGCTGACCCGTGTTCACAGCCAAAAACGCTTGCGTTGGGACATGAGCATCAGAACTGAACCATGGACCAATGGAATAAGACGGCCTGGTCTGATGAATCATGTTTTCTTTTACATCATTTGGGTGACAGGGTATATGTGGGTCGCTTACCTGGGAAAGAGATGGCACCAGGATGCAGAATAGGAAGATGGCAAGCTGAGGGAGACAGTGTGATACTTTAATCAGAGTTCTGCTGGGAAACCTTGGGTCCTGCCACATTGTTAAAATGGTTTGAGGAATATAACGAGTTTGAGGTGTTGCTTCCAAGTTCTCAGTCCAATTGAGCATCTGTGGGATGTGCTTGAAAAACAACATAGAGGCCTCGCCTCGCAACGTACAGGACTTAAAGGATCTGCTACTGACTGCTTGGTGCCAGATACCACAGCATACCTTCAGAGGTCTAGTGTCATTCATGCCATAACGGGTCAGGGCTGTTTCTCCTCACCTCTGTGATTTAAAGATAAGTTCAACTTTTGAAAAAAATATATTAAATTAACTTTTTTTTTTTTTTTTTTTTTTTGCAACTAAAACAATGTGCATTTATTATTTATTTCTAAGGAGCCTGCAGAGCATTGCACCTGTGATCAGCAGATCGTGGGTACAATCTCAGATTCCTGTTGACTCTCAGCATAGCTGTCTGCCCGTACCCTGTACGTGCTGGCAGTTGTTTGAAGATGGGTTGACCGTGTGTAACGTTAAAAGGTGAACTTATAACGTTAAGGTGAACTATCCCAGCCTTGTGGATGAAATGCGTCAAAAGATGAGGTGCCACACAGGGACTCGCTCATGTTGTCGGGATCAAGAAAATTACCAGTGTTTGGATTTATTTTGGAGTGTGGCTGGTCTTTTTCTTTGGATTTGCACAGTCTTAGGACTATAGGACAAGCCTCTACTGATGTTCAGCATCTGACCCTTTATAATGGTGACCCAATTCAAGTCAAGACAGCAAACCATATACAGTAATGTGCAAAAGGTATAGGCAGGTGTGAAGAAATGCTGTAAAGTTAGAGTTCCTTCAGAAATATATTTTCATTGTTTTTAGCAATTTACAAAATGCACAGTGAACAAACAAAGAGAAATCCAAATCAATATTTGGTGTGACTACCGTTTTGGCTTCCAACCAGCATCAATTCAATTCATCAAGCTCTTTTGAAGAAGCACAAAGAAACAGGCAACATCGAGAACTGTAGACGCAGTGGTCGGCCAAGGAAACTTAATGCAGCAGATGAGACACCTCATAATTACTTCCCTTCAACATCAGAATATATCCAGCAGCGCCATTAGTAGACAACTGGTGGAACCCAGGTACACCCATATACTGTCCAGAGAAGTCTGGCCAAAAGTGGTCTTCATGGAATTGCGGCCAAAAAGTCCTACCTCTGACGTGGAAACAAGGGTAAGCAACTCAACTATGGATGAAAACATAGGAACTGGGGTGCAGAAAAATGGCAGAAGGTGCTCTGCACTGACGAGTCAAAATTTGAAATGTTTAGTTGTAGTTTGTTCACCAAGACCGGTACCATAATGAGTGTCTGTCTGCAGGCAACAGTGAAGCATGTTGGAAGTTCCTTGCAGGTATGGGGCTGCATTTCTGCAAATGCATTGGTGATTTGATCAAGATCAATGGTGTCTTCAATGCTGTAAATACAGGAAGATGCTGATCCATCATGACATACCATCAGGGAGGCGTGTGATTGGCCACAAATTTATTCTACAGCAGGACAACAACCCTAAACGTACAACCTATATCATTAAGAACTATCAGTATATAGGAGGACAAGGAGTCCTGAAAGTGATGGTTTGGCCCCCACAAAGCCCTGATCTCAACATCGAGTCTGTCTGGGATTATAGGAAGAGACCAAAGGATTTAAGACAGCCTACATCCACAGAAGATCTATGGTTAGTTCTCCAAGATGTATGGCATAAGCTACCTGCCAAGTTCCTTCAAAACTGTGTGCAAGTGTTCCTATGTCAGGAATCCCAGAGATCATCGCGGCGCACGAATCTGCACAGGTGTAGGATCCCGACAAGACATACAGGCAGGCGGGCACTAGGAACCAGGTGTGCCTGTCACCAATGACGGCCGGGCAGGCACTAGGACCCAGGCGCGCCTGTTGGCGCTGGCGGGCTATTTAAACCAGCTCATGCAATGCTCACATTGCCGTATGGTCTTCATTCCCTGTTCCCTGATCGTCTGTTCCTGCGTGAGATACCTTGTTGCTGACCCCGCTTGATCCTGACCTCTGCTGACTGTCTCCTGCTCTGATCCCTGGCTCGTCTGACTATTCTTTTGCTTACTCCTGATTACCTGACCTCCTGTTGCTGAAACCTGGCATGTGACCCGACTACTCTCTGTCTGCTGCTCTGTACCGTTCTGTCTCTGCTGTTACCGACCCGGCCTGCCTGACTAAGCTACACGTACTCTGTCATCCATCCATCCTGCACGGATCCAGTCACCACTGCCCAGGTCTGCCAGCCTCTTCACATCAGGGGCCCTGGTGAATAAGCAGATTGGGGCTTAGACCCTGCGCCCTGGGGGATCCTGTTCTGTGGGTTGCTAGAGATACCGCCGGATGGATCGTGACATCCTAGAAGAATTTATTCTGTTTGGAAGGCAAAGGGTGGTCACACCAAGTATTGATTTGGTATAAATTTTTCTATTCATTTACTTTCTATTTTGCTAAGTAATAAAAATAAACTATTAACACTTGTATTTGTGAAAGCATTCTTAATTTACAGCATCTTTTCACAACTGCCTATAACTTTTGCACAGTTCTGTATGTTTGGCAACATAATGTAAAATGGTTATCACCTCTATATATTGCAAAAAATTTAATTAATCTACTGTGATTCAGTGTTGTATGAAAAGAAAACATAGTTCCTATAAAAAGTAGTCACCCCATGGAAGTTTTTTTTTTTTTCTCATTCCCATGATGTGGAAAGGGAGATTGTCTTCTGTGCACTTTTGCTATGTATGTTGACTGGTGTAGATAGAAGATGAAACCCTGCATTAGGTTCATAACTATAACCTTTGACAGGATGAAAACTTTGTGTTTACTGGGGTTTTGTTTGTCCATATCATTTATTTCTCTAGATTTGCTAAACCTGTTTTATCTCTTTTGCAGAGGTTCTGTGTAAACCAATTCCATTTTTCATGCATGGTAAACCTATTCCCAAACGAATGCTTCCACCAGAGGATTTGGTGAAATATTATACCAGTGCTGGAAAACGTGGCTACTTAGCAGATCCCATAAAGGTTGATGAAGCAAGGAAGCAACTTGCTCAGAAATATGGCTACATCCTTCCTGACATTACCAAGGATGAACTGTATGAAATGTTGAGCCAGCGTAAGGATCCCCGGCAGATATTCTTTGGCCTTGCTCCAGGTTGGGTGGTCAACATGGCTGAAAAAAAGATCTTGAAGCCTACAGATGAGCGATTACTAGCATATTACAGTTCTTGAGTGACTTGAACAGTCACATGGTCCAGTGTGTATAATAAATTTTTTTTCTATAGCTGTTTGTAGAGTTTTCACTGGAAAAAAATATTAAAGTCAATATATTGTAAGATATATTTGTCCATACAACTACAATTTTTTTTTTTTTTTTTTTCCTTTTTCTGCATACCCTGGTGGTGCCTCTCTTCTTTAATGTACAACTCTAACCATGTTTGTCATGTTCACCAATGGACACATTTTTGTTTATAAACATCCAAATGCATTTGCATTCATTCCAAAGTGATATGAAGTATGCATTTATGTTCCTATGGTGTTTGATCTCTGCATGAATTAAGCCCAAGGATCATTTGATATCACAGACCCTTGGACTACTTTGAGGCCCAGCATAAGCTGGGGTATTGGTATAGTAATGATTTAAGTATCTTAGGATAATTTTGAAATCCTGTCTACCCAAAATCATATTTCAAGTTCTTCACAAATGCTGGGCAGTTAGAAGTAGCCTGAGGATATAAATATGGGGATCCACCTTTGCTGACTTGGAGGCTGTTATCCTCATCTTGACTTGAACCCCTTTGACCCCTTGTGTGCGTATGGGTGAATTAAGTAATTATCTTTGAAATTGAGTTCACATTGAAAGCACCAACTTCAATAACATATACGTTAACCTCCCTGGAGGTATTCCAGAGTGTAACACGGGGTAAAGTTTCAGCACCACAAGCGGTAACCCCGAGCTACTCTTGGGAATACCTTGCAGCGTTGCTCCAGGATCTCTTCTTCAATTACCTTGTCCTGCGCTCCCGCGATGTCCCTCCTGCAGTGTCCCCTGTAATGTCCTCCGGCCGATGCCGGCATCTGTCTTCCAGTTTCCATTCCCTTCGATGTCAGGGCGTAAGGGGGATGGAACTGGCGGGAAATGTGAAAATTTTAGTGCATTCACTAAAATCACTTAGTAAAACATTACTGTATCAAACCATTTCACATACATTTTGTTCCTAGTGCTTTGTCCTGTGCCCTGCCTGCATTTTAACTGTTCTTTCTGCCTTGAAACTGAGAAAAGTCCATGGTGTCCAAAAAGCATCCCTTTAGGTCAAAAGCGGTTTTAGACCAGCTAGAGAACAGTGATAGTAAATTAGAACTACTTGCAGAATTGTGTGATGATTCGTGGGGAAATTCGTCATCAGATGCTGAAAACTATTTTTTGACTTAGCTCAGTGATGTGCAAACCTGGCGCTATATTTCAAATTTCAGTGCTTTTGGTTGATTATTTTTTAATTAAATTTATTATTAGATTATTTTTAATGATTATTTATTAAATTATAATTTATGATTTCATGTTTCAAATTTTAACATACCCGGAATGTTTACTAGACTCTTGTTCGGACAGATTTCAGTGAGTTATTCCTAAAAATTACAGGCCTACAATAAAAAAAACTACATATTTCCATGCAAAAAAATGTACTGCTTTGAGCACAGAAATATGGACATAATCAGACCGCTAGGGAGGTTAATTAAAATTTGTAATTTAAAATGTAATCACCAAAATGGCATACAGTTGTGTTCAAAATAATAGCAGTGTGTTGAAAAAAGAGAATAAAGCTCAAAATCCTTCTAATAGCTTTTATTTCCATACACACAAATGCATTAGGAACACTACACATTCTATTCCAAATCAAAACATGAAGAAAAATGTATCAAATTTGTGTTGTTCCTCTTAAAAAAAAAAAAAAAAAATGAAGAAAAGCGAATATTAGACTGTTCAAAAAACTAGCAGTGTTTTGTATTCTTTACAAACTCAAACATTCACTATATAAACTGAAAAATGTTTGAAGATTTTGCTTTCCTTTGAATCACTTAATTAATATTTAGTTGTATAAGCACTGTTTCTGAGAACTGCTGTACATCTGTGTTGCATGGAGTCAACCAATTTCTGGCACCTGTGAACAGGTATTCCAGCCCAGGATGATTGGACTACATTCCACAGTTCTTCTCTATTTCTTTGTTTTGCCTCAGAAACTGCATTTTTGATGTCACCCCACAAGTTTTCTATTGGATTAAGATCTGGGGATTGGGCTGGCCACCCCATAATGTCAATCTTGTTGGTATGGAACCAAGATGTTGCACGTTTACTGGTGTATTTGGAGTCGTTGTCTTGTTGGAACACCCATTTCAAGGGCATTTTCTCTTAAGCATAAGGCAACATGATGTCAGGGCTCCCAGGTATGACCAGAGGTGTGTGACTGAAGCAGGGAAACGCAGACTTCAGATATGTGATTAACAATGTAATTTATTAACACTAACAATACAAACATAAACGCAGTGCAATACTGAACATAATACAGTGCAAACAAACCCAACCAACCACCCACAGATAACAGTACATACAAGCAAGCGTCGTCAGGCAGGCCGAGTCAATATCAATTGGGCAGGTAGGTACAGGGGGAGCAAGCGGAGAATGGTCGGGGTCACAGGCCAGGTTCAGCAGGTAGCAAGCAGCGTAGTACAGAGGGTCAGGCAGAGGGATGGTCAGGGTCACAAGCCAGGGATCAGAACAGGTAGCAAGCAGCGTAGTACAGAGGGTCAGGCAGAGGGATGGTCAGGGTCACAAGCCAGGGATCAGAACAGGTAGCAAAGGAACAGAAACAGGATGCAGGACAGATACAGGGCCCAGGACAAACACAACACCAAGGCAGAGTCTGCAAGTCTGGCCATCCCTTAAATACACCAGTATCATCAGTTCCAGGTGTTAGCTGGCTGAAAGGTTGAGTCTCTGATTGCTGGGAGCACCCGCTGGCCAGCCCTGGTACTGCAGATCAAAAGGCAGGTGAGTCCCACCATTGCTGGCCAGTCCATTCCTGACAGTACCCCCCCCTCAAGGAGCGGCCTCAGGACGCTCCAAACAGTCCTAGCTGGGAAAAAATGTTCCATCGCCCGGGTCTGGTAACTGGCGGGATATCAAAGACTGGCACACCGGGCAGCGGTACACCGGGCAGAGGCACATCGGGCTGGACTCCGGGCAGAGGCACATCGGGCTGGACTCCGGGCAGAGCCACACCGGGCAGAGGCACATCGGGCAGAGGCACATCGGGCTGGACTCCGGGCAGAGGCACATCGGGCTGGACTCCGGGCAGAGGCACATCGGGCTGGACTCCGGGCAGAGGCACATCGGGCTGGACTCCGGGCAGAGGCACATCGGGCTGGACTCCGGGCAGAGGCACACCGGGCAGAGGCACATCGGGCTGGACTCCGGGCAGAGGCACATCGGGCAGGACTCCGGGCAGAGGCACATCGGGCTACCAGGCGAAGCGGCAGGCAGCGGGCCACCGGACGGAGCGGCAGGCAGCGGGCCACCGGGCGGGCGGCAGCGGCAGGCACCGGGCCCCCGGGCGGAGCGGCAGGCACCGGGCCCCCGGGCGGGGCGACAGGCCTCGGGCCCCCGGGCGGGGCGACAGGCATCGGGCCCCCGGGCGGGGCGACAGGCATCGGGCCCCCAGGCGGAACTACAGGTCTCGGGCCCTCAGGCGGAGCGGCGGGTGCCGGACCCCCAGATGGAGCGACAGGCCTCGGGCCCCCAGGCGGGGCGACAGGCATCGGACCCCCAGGCGGGGGCGACAGGCATCGGGCCCCCAGGCGGAGCGACGGGCGCCGGACCCCCAGGCGGAACTACAGGTCTCGGGCCCTCAGGCGGAGCGCGGGCGCCGGACCCCCAGGCGGAGCGACAGGTCTCGGGCCCCCAGGCGGAGCGACAGGTCTCGGGCCCCCAGGCGGAGCGGCGGGCGCCGGACCCCCAGGCGGAACTACAGGTCTCGGGCCCTCAGGCGGAGCGGCGGGCGCCGGACCCCCAGGTGGAGCGACAGGTCTCGGGCCCTCAGGTGGAGCGGCGGGCGCCGGACCCCCAGGTGGAGCGACAGGTCTCGGGCCCTCAGGCGGAGCGGCGGGCGCCGGACCCCCAGGTGGAGCGACAGGTCTCGGGCCCTCAGGCGGAGCGGCGGGCGCCGGACCCCCAGGCGGTGCGACAGGTCTCGGGCCCTCAGGCGGAGCAACAGGTCTCGGGCCCCCAGGCGGGGGGCGGCGGGCGCCGGACCCCCAGGTGGAGCGGCGGGCGCTGGACCCCCAGGCGGAGCGACAGGTCTCGGGCCCCCAGGCGGAGCAGCGGGCACCGAGTCACCAGGCACGACAGTGGGCTCCGAGTCAACTGGCATGACCGCTGGCACTAGGTCAGACATTGGATCGTCTGGCTGGACAGCGGGCATCGGGTCACCAGGCATCAGGTCATTTGGCTCGACAGCGGGCACCGTGTCATCTGGCAAGGCAGTGGGCTCCGAGTCAACTGGTATGACCGCGGGCACTGGGTCAGACATTGGATCGTCTGACCGGACAGCGGGCATCGGGTCACCAGGCATCAGGTCATTTGGCTCGACCGCGGGCACCGCGTCATCTGGCAAGGCAGTGGGCTCCGAGTTAACTGGTATGACCGCGGGCACTGGGTCAGACATTGGATCGTCTGACTGGACAGCGGGCATCGGGTCACCAGGCATCAAGTCATTTGGCTTGACAGCGAGCACCGCGTCATCTGGCAAGGCAGTGGGTTCCGAGTCAACTGGCATGATCGCGGGCACTGGGGCAGACATTGAATCGTCTGGCTGGACAGCGGGCATCGGGTCACCAGGCATCAGGTCATTTGGCTCGACAGCGGGCACCGCGTCATCTGGCAAGGCAGTGGGCTCCGAGTCAACAGGCACGACAGTGGGCACCGGGTCATCAGGTACCGGATTGTCTGGCTCGACAGCAGGCATCGGGTCACCAGGTATGACAGCGGCCACTGGGTCACCAGGCATCAGGTCATTTGGCTTGCCAGCGGGCACCGCGTCATCTGGCAAGGCAGTGGGCACCGGGTCACCAGGCATTGGATCGTCTGGCTCGACAGCGGGCATCGGGTCACCAGGTATGACAGCGGGCACTGGGTCACCAGGCATCAGGTCATTTGGCTCGCCAGCGGGCACCGCGTCATCTGGCAAGGCAGTGGGCACCGAGTCACCAGGTACGACAGCGGGCTCTGAGTCAATTGGCACGACAGCGGGCACCGGATCATCTGGATCAACAGCGGGCATCGAGTCAACTGGCCTAATTGGATCGTCAGGCTGGATCAGTTCATCATGCTGGGTAGAGGCATCAGGCCGAGTAGAGGCATCAGGCCGAGTAGAGGCATCAGGCCGAGTAGAGGCTTCAGGCCGAGTAGAGGCATCAGGCCGAGTAGAGGCTTCAGGCCGAGTAGAGGCTTCAGGTCGAGTAGAGGCATCAGGCTGCATACAGGCATCAGGCTGAAGAGAGGCATCAGGCTGCGTACCGGCATCAGGCCGAGTAGTAGGCTTCAGGCTGAGTAGAGGCTTCAGGCTGAACCACGGAAGGCAGGCTCACCGATTTGGATACTGGCAGGATGGTATTGGTTGGAAAGAATTTTCGCTTTTTTCTGGTTTTAACTACTGGAGCACTGCAAGTAAACGCAGGTCTGCAAACGAATGGAGCAGCTGGAGACAGAGAAGAACTGGAGGATGGAACAGGAGAGGGAGCAGTTGCTACAGAGGGCTTTTTTACAGGGTTAAAGGCAGGATAGGTGCAGCGAATGGGAACAGGGTACTGACATGCGGTAGATAGCCAAGTATACTGGGCTGTAACTGGAGGAGCTGTTGGGAATACAGGAGTAGAGTTAGAAGCAGGACTGGGTTTTTGTAAGCTGACTGAGGCTGGGTGCAACAAGTCTGTCCATGTCTGCAGTATGGGTTGAACAAAGCTGAGCTTACACAAAGCCTGTCTGGTCAATGACTGCACTGCGTTTATACAATCTCTTAGTGTCTGTGGTGAACATGTGGAATAACGCTCCAGAAAGTAACCCACATCATCCTCTAATAACCACACCAGGGACTCTACCTGGTCTGCACTAAATGGTGGCAAAAAATTCATCCCTGCATTCGGGGGTACCAGATGAAACCAACTCTGCACAAACCTCAATCAAAGGCTGCACCTCAGAGAACTCTGTGCCCTGATCTACTAGAACATGAGCGAGCCGTATACATTCTAGCAGTTCATCCCGGGTATACTCCTTCAGAGTTTGATAAGCATACTCCCTGTCATCAAACACTAGCAGATATAAATACGCAACCTCATCCAGATCCATCCTTCCCATCAACAAGCCAAGATGGCTTCCCTGTGCAGCCACTTCTGGTCAGGATTGGCCTTGGTGTAATGTCAGGGCTCCCAGGTATGACCAGAGGTGTGTGACTGAAGCAGGGAAACGCAGACTTCAGATATGTGATTAACAATGTAATTTATTAACACTAACAATACAAACATAAACGCAGTGCAATACTAAACATAATACAGTGCAAACAAACCCAACCAACACCCACAGATAACAGACATACAAGCAAGCGTCGTCAGGCAGGCCGAGTCAATATCAATTGGGCAGGTAGGTACAGGGGGAGCAAGCGGAGAATGGTCAGGGTCACAGGCCAGGTTCAGCAGGTAGCAAGCAGCGTAGTACAGAGGGTCAGGCAGAGGGATGGTCAGGGTCACAAGCCAGGGATCAGAACAGGTAGCAAGCAGCGTAGTACAGAGGGTCAGGCAGAGGGATGGTCAGGGTCACAAGCCAGGGATCAGAACAGGTAGCAAAGGAACAGAAACAGGATGCAGGACAGATACAGGGCCCAGGACAAACACAACACCAAGGCAGAGTCTGCAAGTCTGGCCATCCCTTAAATACACCAGTATCATCAGTTCCAGGTGTTAGCTGGCTGAAAGGTTGAGTCTCTGATTGCTGGGAGCACCCGCTGGCCAGCCCTGGTACTGCAGATCAAAAGGCAGGTGAGTCCCACCATTGCTGGCCAGTCCATTCCTGACACATGACCTCTACAAGTATTCTGATGTATTCAAACTGATCCATGATCCCTGGTATGCGATAAATAGGCCCAACACCGTAGTATGAGAAACATCCCCATATCATGATGCTTGCGCAACCATGCTTCACTGTCTTCACAGTGTACTGTGGCTTGAATTCAGTGTTTGGGGGTCGTCTGACAAACTGTCTCCGGCCACTAGACCCAAAAAGAACAATCTTACTTTCATCAGTCCACAAAATGTTGCATCATTTCTCTTTAGGCCAGTCAATGTGCTCTTTGGCAAATTGTAACCTCTTCAGCACGTCTTTTTTTCAACAGTGTGACTTTGCGGGGGCTTCTTGCAGATAGCTTGTCTTCACATAGGCGTCTTCTAATTGTAACAGTACTCACAGGTAACTTTAGGCCTTTGATGTTCCTGGAGCTGATTGTTGGCTGAGTCCTTGCCATTTTGGCTATTCTTCTATCCATTCGAATGGTAGTTTTTCGCTTTCTTCCACGTCTTTTATGTTTTGGTTGCCATTTTAAAGCATTTGCAATCATTTTAGCTGGGCAGCCTATCATTTTCTGCACTTCCCCTCTCCAATCAACTTTTTAATCAAGGTACGCTGTTCTTCTGAACAATGTCTGGAATGACCCATTTTCCTCAGAATTTCAGAGAGAAATGCACTGTAATCAGCATGTACAACATTTGCTGCCTTCCTTCCTTAAATAAGGGCAATAATTGCCACCTGCTTTTCAAAGAATGAATGACCTCACTAATAGAACTCCAAACTGCTATTATTTTGAACATGCCCCTTTCAATTACACAGAATCAGCAGCATGCATGTCATGACTGTTGGGTCTTTTGGATTTCTATTACTCTACTATACCTGCTAGTAAATTATTTGCCATGTAGAAATATTATTTCTACCAAAAACAGTGATTGATCAGGTTAGTGATGTCTGACTGCTATTATTTTGAACACAACTGTATGTACACTGGTCAGTGACTCCATGAATTGAAAGTTATCCATCCAACTAGGTAGATGGCATTTTCAGGAAAGAGTATTGATGGCTCTGAGTCAGCATAACATAAACTTGACTGGAGTTCTATAGGGTTTATGCACACAAATGTTAAAATGGAAAGCTAGCGGGAGCATAGCAAGAGTGTATTCAGAGAAATGGTCCAGTTCAGGGGCAGATGATGAAGCATTGGCTTTGCATGACTCTAATCCATGTGATTAAGAATGCTGACCATAGCAGCTAGTTGCATTTGATGCTGCTGTTCTTTAGAAACATTCCTCATAGCAAGTCTGCCTCTTTTATTGTTTCAAGAATGTGGGACTCAAACCGCAGCAGTGGGATGGGCATCTGTAGGGAGTAGTGTACCTGGGACTTTAGATGGCATATTTACCAAATGGAATAATGGAGCTTGGAGAAAACAAGCCAGTCAACAAAACCAACAGAGCATGATTAACCAGGATTTTTGTTTAGGTTTGCATACCCTGTGATTAAAAAAAAAAATAGTCATGTAAAATAGTTATTATGAAGAAAACTTTGGCAAGTAGTAGTCCCTTAGAAACCTCTTTCCTTGAATTAAATAATGCACTCTTAAAATGCCTTCCTTGATTTCAATACCAAAACTATCCCATATCCTGACTGAGCAAACATACATACTTGACAAGCTGCTTTCTCTGAACTATCACAATGCTTCAGAAGCACAATGCTTCACTACTTGTGAATTGGCTTCCCTTATTTGTAAGAATTTTGTTTTGTGAACATATTCGCTATTGTACTCTGTTCAAGTTTCAAATGAACAAGCAGGAAAAAGTAGTGCTAATCCTGACTATTAAGGAAGTCTACCCTGCACAACAAAAAGCATGGTGACTTTTTCTAATTTTTTTTTTTTTTTAGTTTTTACATAGAGTATAGAGGCCTTAGAACACGTGTCCATTTTTACTGCCGTGTGTGCCCTTTAGGGAGATTCACCCTATTTGTCCTGTTTATCATTATCATTGAAATCAAAAGAAAATCCCAAATTTTGTGTTGTCCCCAGAAACCTAATAGAGGAGAAATCCTCCAACGGGGACACTAGTTCTAGTGACCTGGAGGTCCCCAAGGAATTCCCATAATTTGCAGGGATTTCTGCTCACTTGTTTGGCTATGGGACAGAAAGTGAAGGGAAATTTCTGCAATGGAACCCAGAGGGTGGAAAATAATCTGACAAGGGTTAGAACCCTTCCTTGCTCTATCCAAAATGGGGAAAAAAAAAGTTTTGCCTATAGTTCTACTTTAAGGCTCTTCACTTAAAGTGAAGGTAAAGTTGTGTTCACTTCAATTATCCAATGTCCTAGAAACCTTTTCATTGCCTTTTGTAAAAAAAGAAAACAAAAACTTGCCTTTTCCGCTTAAAATCCTTGTGGAAACCGTTCTTTTAAAGTGTCCTAGTTGCTCCATTTCTAGGTGAGGAGACCTGTCATCCCAGCCTGGTTTCTGTGAGCTTGGTGACTGCTCATCTCAATGACCACTGGTAGTTCAGACAGGGAGGTTATGACATTTCATGTAAGTGCTGCCTGGAATAGAAGAGATTATTTCAACAGCCACATTTCTCCTAAGCAGATTTAGCTCTGCTAAGTGCACTTTTGACAATAGGAAGTGACATAGGGTGTCCCTTCTCTTGGATTTTTACAATTTTCAAAGGAGGTAATACATGTATTTTCAAGCTACAGAAGCAAGGTAATAAAATGCAGTATGCAGTACATAGGGAAAGGGGGGAGGGTTGAAGGTACAATTTTGTCAACGGGTCAGTAGGTGCTACCTACTGGCACATTATGGCAGACTTACCTGGCAAAGGCAACCCTCCAGCAATGGGCTGTCACCACTCACCCTGGTTCCATCTTTGCCCGGCTGCGGTGACGTAATTTCCACTCCTATGCACAGAAGTTACATTGCCATGGCACAATGGGAACACTAGTTCTGGTGACCTGGGGGGGCCCCAAGGAATTCCCTTAATTTGCAGGGATTTCCTCTCACTTCCTGTTTTGGCAATGGGAAAGGAAGTCAAGGTAAATCTCCCTAATGAGACCCGGATTGCAAAAAAGAACTGACAGTGGTTATAACCCTACCTTTACTTTATCCAAAATGAAAAAAGTTTTGCCTTTAGTTCTACTTTAACCACTTCCCATGCGGCCTATATTCAAATGACGGCCAGGCGAACCTCTCGTCCCTCCGGGAGGGCGTCATATGATGTCCTTCCCGGATCGCGTGGGGCCGCGCTGTGGCAAGATTTGTTACCGGCTGTTTACCTCAGACACAGCCGATGACAGATCTGTGTACCGGCCCTATTGCCAGTACCATGTAATCTGCTGTGACCAATCACAGCAGATCACATGACAGTCATATATAATGGATGGCTTCTTTTCATGCCATCCATTGTATACAAGTGTGTCTAGCTGTGAAAGGTCACAGTGATCACATGCACAGGCTGGGCCAGTCACAGCCCATCTGTGTCATGTGATTAGCTGTGGCCAATCACAGCTAATCACAACAAAAAAACTGAATGAATAGATTTCATTCAGTTAAATGCTTGCTTTTAGCAAAGAAATTCAATGTTATAAGCAATCAAATTCTGTAAAAAAAAAAAATACTGATCACTTCCCTAAAGTAGTATATTGTTACTATGGTAACATTATACTACTTTGGTCAAAGTATAATATGAAAAAAAAATCTTAAAGAAAAAAAAAGTAAATGATAAATTATCAAATTTTTTTTTTTCATGCTGTCACCAGTCAGTGTCCCTGATCACCGCCACACCAGCTATATGATGACACTACTGCACTGGTGACAGTATG